TTCATCATCTCATCTCTAACACATCCTTTCCAACTTCTAAATATACTAACTTATTTTACGATTCTTACATTCATGGTTGATCTTGGCTTCTTTTTAAAGCAGTGAAAATTAGTTGTCTTTCTAACTTCTCAATTGCTATGTAGTGACTTTTCTTCTCATAGCAGTTGTTAGGAACATGATAGGACAACCAGTTGGTTTGATCAGAGTTAGTTAAACCTTTGAAGAGGGCTAAGCAGCATTTACTTTATTTTTCTACATTTTGTACCCATCTTGGAAATTTTCTTTTGTATAATTGAATCTTGAAATTTGAATAAATAAATGCTTCACTGTGTCTTTAAAAAAAAAAAAGTAGTAAAATTGATTTGTATAATAGAAACCATTGATGTCATAGTTTATTTAATTTATTTAATTCATTTTATCCATTTATTTTATTTATTTTATTATATTTATTTTATCTGTTTTATTCATTATCTTATTTTTTTTATCTTCTTTATTTAAATCATTATAACGTTATATAGGATAGTTTTAATATAAATAGAAGTAATTTAGGATTAAGTATCGAGAGATCGTTTTAGATTTATCTTATATTAGTTTTAGTAATTTTAAATCCTTTAATAAATAAACTGTTTAGTACAAACACACTGACAGAGACAGTACTATAATTTTATTTGTTAATCATTTATTTTATGCATATTATCATATTTTCTTTGTACTTATAAAATTATAATTAAGTTCTTTATCTTTTTTACAAAGGAAACCTTTTGTATACGTAATAATAACGCTTATTTAAGTCGAGCATTTTAAAGAATTTGTGTAATAATAGTATAAATAATTCAGATTAATTGAAATTTTAATTCAGTTTACAATATAAAACTGATTAACTTTCAGAATATTCCAAAAAAATTTATTTATTTATTTATTTTTTTTTTTCAGAAATTTAACCTTTTTATTCTTTTTTCTTGTTTTTTAGGAAATTCTTATTTTGGGTATTAAGGTAAGCAATCAGAAGTAACTTTTAGATGGTTTTAACTGTTTTTTTTTTATTTTTTTTTTGTTTTTTTTAGGAAAATTCTCTTTTTCAAAGCAAAGGTAAGCCTTTTGAATGTGGTATTTTGGTAGTTTTCTAACTGTTTTCTTTATTTTTTTTTAATTTTTTTTAGGAATATATTAAGGTAAGCTTTTCGAAGATGTTATTTTGGTAGGTTGTTAACTATTTCTTTATTTTTCTTTATTTTTTTTAGGAATACATTAAAATAAGTAAATTAAAGGTGGTTTTTAGTGGGTTTCTAACTGTTTTCTTTATTTTTTCTTTACTTTTTTTTAGGAATATATTAAGGTAAGTAAATCAGAGGTGATTTTTAGTGGGTTTTCTAACAGTTTCTTTATTTTTTCTTTACTTTTTTTTTAGGAATACATTAAGGTAAGCCTTTTAGAAATGATATTTTAGTGGATTTTCTAACTGTTTTCTTTATTTTTCTTTACTTTAAAAAATCAAATGTATCTTTTTTGAATAAAATATAATACAATACATATTCTTTTGAGTAATTTATTATGTAATAATAAAATAAAATTATAAATCATAAATAAACAAAAATTAGTTTTATTAGTTTTGATTTTTTAATTAATTTTTGCTAATTGTTGACCAATTTTAAGCTAATTTATGCTAAATTTTGACTAATTTTTAACATAAATGCTGATTGATAACTGATTTTCTATTTATTTAAAGTGCCAATTTTTTGGTAATGATAGGCAGAATTAGACTATATTTTGGTCAACTTTTAGCACTTTAAATGTGACGAATTATATTATTTTATCTAGTGATATATCAAATAACTACCAATTGTTAATGTTAAATGTTTTTTTTGTGTGGCATAAAAATGGGCAACTTCAGCTATAACTAAAAATGCTGATTGTTTTGGCAATGATCAGCAGAAATTAGATTATATTTCAGCTAACATTCAGCACTTTAAAAAAGTGACGAAATGGATTATTTCGACTAGTATAAATATGATATTAGAAAATATTTCTTGAGGGTGCTTTCAGGATGCTTTATCTCTATACCACCAATTACTGTTAATTGGGATATTAATATGTAAATCAAGTTACGCCAACATTTCCATTCTGACTACTAGTGTACTGACTAGACTTTTTTTAGTATCAAGATAATATTTGGAATTCTGTGCCTATTTTATTGTAATATACTATTTTGGTATATAACCTTTTATTATAATGTTTTTCTAGCACGAGCAAAGAGTATCCAACCTAATCGGTATAATAATTGATTTTTTCTCTTCCACCCAAGTTATAGGAGAATAAAAAGTATGATTATATAGCATATTAAAATAATCACTTTTCCAGTTAAATTTTATGAGTTTTCCATTAATAGAATAATAAGCCTTACTATAAGGAATAATACCTAAATACTTTCACCTGTTAGGAATACTATTATTCCTCTTATTCCTCACAACCTCCTAAATTTATTTTGCTAAAGATTCAGATCTTTTCTTATAATTTCTGTAAGCCCGCTAGATAATTGTTACATAGAAATTTTCAAAGCTATAATTATAATATTTAGGAATCAAGAATTCCCATGATTGCTTCATTAAACTTTCCTCCTCTTTTTCTCATATTTATTCAAAAAAAAATGTGTAAATAAGTTATATACAGTTAGAACTTGATATAACGATTCTCGATATAACGATTACTTAATAAAATCTTGTTAAAACGATTTTTTGAAAAATTTGACTTTATATTTGAACATATAAAAATCGTTATATAGAACTTATAAATTTTGATAAACTGATTTTTTTTAAAAAATTTTATAGTAAACCAGAAGGTTCGTTATATCGAGTTCTGACTGTATTAATAAAATAATAGTTTATATTTAAAACATTTCTCAAAATCAGTCAGTCATCTAATTAAATAATTGTGATTTCTACCCTATTTCTCAATCTTAACATAGTATCTTTTGGTTGATTTAGATGGTTTGTGAATAGTAGCAAGTTATTTTGTTTTGCATACTAAGACGAGATAAATATTTCACTTATCATGTATTTTCTTAGAAAACCTTCCGAATATCAATAAGGAGTTAGTGGTAAAGGAGGATGGATCAATAAATAGGCCTTAGCCACAGAGTATAATTTATCTTTGATCTCAGCTTTAAAGCAAAAGCAATCCTAATGATTCTTCATCAAATCTTCAGGCTCAATTTCATAGGCCCATCTGTATCATCCATTTTAATATACTTTTCTAGGCTTTACTTCAGCAATCTTCACCAATTTCTAGCATTTAAAACAGATAGCCATCTGACTTTTATGAATACTAGGTCTATGATATCTGAAGTGATCTTCAAATAACTCACTATTAACATAGAATGTTTTAGATTTTAATTGCCCAAATGAAGCAAAAATGCAGTACACATGATATAAACTATATTCTCGCTTAAAAAGTAATTCTTGCAGAGAACCTCTTACACGATTAGCCCATTGCTAGAGAATTTCATAAGGTCTAATAATAGATAAATAATCATATTGTTTTTCTATTTCAACCACTTTTTCATATTGATAGTTATCAGTTTAAGGACAATTGTTAAAAATATGTTCAATATCATATCTGGGACGGAGATTAATAGGCTTAGGAAAAGTTTTATTATAAATCTTAACTAATATGATCTTAACCATTGTACCAGGTATATTTATTAGTAAATTAGTAATTTATAGCAATTTCAGTGTTTTTAGTGATTCTTAGCTGATTTGCAATATTATACTCTAATAAATATCAGATTTATTTTTTTAACGCTAAGTAAAGATAGTTCCCATAATTATTTTTAAATTTTTTAACTAGTTGCAACTTAAGTTGCAATACTTTGAGTTGCAACTATTTATGAATTTTTATATTAAAATAAATTTACAAGGAGTTGCAACTTACCGAGTTGCAACTTCTTAATTATGGTGCCCATCTTTAGCACTAAGCATGAAAATATTGAAAATAATATGGCATATAATTATATGATTATTCATTTTATATTATAGGCATAGTAGAATATAAAATACATTCATAAATTTAAAAATCAATAGCCTAATATAGACAGATCTTTATTATTTTTTTCATTCATACAGAACATTTGAAATGATATAAATCGACTAACCTTTATATAGTTACTACATATTACCCCTTACATTTGACCGACCATTACCAGTGGCAATTTCATAAGATAGTGGTAGTTGGTACGTTGAGGATTCGTCTAGTTTTACACGCTCTGTATCAGAAATATTCGGTCCACTAAGTAGTTTGTTGAGACATATTTTTTACATGATAAGGAACTTGGGAAAAAACAATTTCCGCATTAAATATTTTTCGCATTATATATTTCGCATTACATATTTTAAAATATTTAATTAAAGATTTTTTTGGTTTAAGATAGAAAATTAGCTTCGAGGGTTTCCAGAAAACCTTTTAACTAATTAAATTAGAAAAATATCATATTCATATGTAATATAATAAAATTAACTTTGTGGATTTTTTCAATTTACCAGTTGCAAATTGACATGAAATCACGAAATTATTCAAATACACTCTTTTTGTGCAAACTTCTCACTATTAGCAAAAAAGGATTATGAAAAATCACAGAATTGGTTTCTTTTCTAAGAAAATTGATCCAATCATGATGGGTTAAATCTTTTATTAATAATTACCTTAAATAATTCCCTGCAGATTGAGAACAAATCCATTAAGAATGTTCAAGGTCAAAGTAACAGCATTGGCGTATTCACGCCAATGGATCTGATTCTGATGATGCCTAATAATATGAAAACGTGAGCGCCTAACATAATAGATACGTGCCCTTTGAATGATCGGATCGATGGAAATCCCTTCCTATAAATTAGTAGTAATGATTAATAAACATAATCAATAAATGACCATTAGTAAATTACCTCGACTCCAGCGTTCATCCACATAATCATTTTTTCGTAAAACCTTTGTTCCGTATCTGATTGTGATCATATTTCAACGACAAAGTTTGGGGCTAATGCTGGAAACGCCTTCGCTTTATCAGCATTTGACAACGTATTCCATCTGCAATAAAAACAATAACGGTTAAAAAAATGTTCCAAAAATGTCACATGCATAATATTCAGAAACCTAGTAATAAGGACGACGGAGTAATCAGGGCATCTAACAGTAACATCGGGCAAAGGTAAAGTCCAGCAGGTCTACAGTCAAATAGTATATATATATTTTTTTAAAAAAAAATGATATTAATACAAAGGAAAAGCGAGTAAATATGATAATTTTCAACATACATTTGGTCCACCGAACTCTTCAACTAAAGCCAGATTATTAAGGCACCATGATGTAATTTGATTACTGAGGATGGCTTCTCTTCGTCCTAATTGTATTTTTATTGCAATTTAGCACTTTTCAACTCAGTATATAAAGTCAAAAAAAATAGCAGATGAGAAATATAAAGCTTCAGGATATAGTCGAGTTTCACATACCAGTGTTGTGATGTACAGGTATTATTTCTATTCTACCTTCAGTTAAATTCATTCGATAACAGCTAGGGGTCACTTTTGCGATCTCTTCAAAATCTCTGATAGAAGCCATTTTGGTATTGAAAGAGTTTGTTTAGTCTAAAAGTTAAGAAGAGTTTGTATTTCTTGAGAGTTTAAAAGGTATAAGCAGAGTTTGTATTTCTTGAGAGTTTAAAAAAGTATAAGCAGAGTTTGTATTTCTTGAGCTTATAAGTTATCTGTTATGTACAGAAATTTTCTGATAATCACCATTATCTTGATATTTTATCTCCTGAAGAAAAAATTAGTTGATGAATAAGCCACACAATAATTTTTTAGCTCCCTTGCCCAGGAACGCTCATCCTACAAGAGAACTAAAAAACCACATTTTTTGAAAAATCTTGAATGGAATCTGTGTAAGGAGAAGTTAACTTCTAGCATAAAGTTCAGGCATATTGCAGTAGAAGGGATATGTTCACCAACCGTTAAAGTAATGCGCGTCATATAAATGGATTTTATTTCATCACATCATTTGTACATGTAAAAAAATAAAGTTCTAATTTTCAGAGAAGTGAAAAAGTGCTTTATAAGCGAATGAAATATATGAAGCTATTGAAGAGGGATGGGATCGCGTTGGATTTATGGTTAGGCGCTAGCTATTAGAAAATAACCAAGGAATGATGGGTTATGGAGTTCTCAGATTATGCATAAATGAGAGTCCTGGCATCACATTTCTTTGCTCTCTTTTTTTTAAGAAATTTGACGCTTAATTTTTTTATTACAAGCCAGATATGGGCAAATTGTTAAGCGAATACAAAATTTATATTTGAGAATGTATATACACATAAAACACGCACATACGTTTAAAAAATTCGAAGTGAAATCTTTATTATATTTTTTTTTGTAAAATAATACATGAGAAAGGGCTAACCGGCTAAGTATAAAAAATGAAAGTAAAAAACAATAGAGTAGCAGGTTGTTTCAAGGAAGGAAAGGCATAAAAGAAAATGCCTGCTTGTTAAGCCTGCCGAGCCCTAACTCATGTAATGACAGTTCCTTTCCTGCTACTCAGTTTTGCTATCTAACCAAGCATCTATTTTCTCTAAGTTTTCGATTTTATATTAATCCTATTGTAAAAACTTTTTATCATATCACTTTCAAGTTTTCCCACCCCAAGTTTAAGAATTTCAACGGATACAATAATATACATCTGATCTAAAGTATAACCCTCTAAATTCATAATTATACTAATGGTATTTGTAAATTGTTGCCGAATTACAGAAATGATATTTGAGAATTTTTGGCTTGAGCCTGCAATCAAAAAAATGTTAGTCAAACTTCCCTAATACATAAATCGTCGATTATCAAGAATTATTCTGTTTTTATCTTACCAGAAGAACCAGAGAGCTTGAAGATGAATTAGTTGAAGAGCTTTGTGAACTAACACTTAGTTGATCAAAATCAGGTCTTTGAATCTCTGCATAATATTGATTTATTTTGTTTTCAAGATTATTTATACTAGCATCAATTGATATAAATCTGAACACAATGGATTTCTCTAAGGATCTAATTCTACCAAAATCATTTTGACGGACTTCTTCAATGTTATTAAGTTCAATATTAATTTTGCTGAGCTTCGCAGTGAAAGAAGAAATAATTTCAGATAGGTGTGCAGTGAGTTCATTGGTGACTTTAGTGTCATGTATAGAGAGTTCATCCACAGTTTTATTGTTAATTTTATTCATAATTTTAGTGATCTCCACAGTGAATTGAAATAGATTTCATTCTTAATTTTGTTAATCTCTACAGTAGAATTATTGTTAACTTTAGAGATATATGCAGAAAATTTTTTGTTTATTTCGATAAGGGTCTTTTCAATTTCTGATATATTGTTTCTTGTCTCAAGTTTGTTTATGATTTTGATGACATGTGCAGAAAGTACATCAGAGATTTTTTGTTTGAGATTTGATCACATGGTAATGATACCTATAAACAGGGTCGGCAAAAGACCTTGAAATGATCTTGAAATGATCTCAAATGACCTTATTGTTATTATAAATTTCAAATCAAAAGACCTTATAATTTGCCATCACTGTCTATAAATATCATTGGACCAACATACAAAAAAACAGCAGTTAAAACTAAAAATAGTATACTTTCAGATGAGTTGAATAATGTTAAACTGGACATGATTAGATAATATGCAATATATTTTATAGAGAAGTGTTCTTATTGGTGGATTAAATCAGAGTTTTTTAGATAGTAACAATTGATTTTTTTTATAATATACAATTCTCTTGCGTGAATGCTCTAGAAAAAAGGCTTATTTTATATTTTATTTCTACTACACGTGAAAATGAAAATTTAATCTGATATAATAAAAATTCTTACTTTATTATGTGTATTTGTTATAATGACATTTTCATAATTATGTTTTTTCAGCTAAAGCAATTATAACGGTCTGATTTCTGTTTAATAATAACAAATGTCTTTTTCTAAATTTGAGACGTATTTAACAATAATGCTTAAAAGAAAATCTGATAAATTACGTTTTATAATAACTTAATGTAATACTAATGGAGCAATGCTATGTCTCAAAATAATCTATTTATTTCTAAGATTTCTTGCAAACAGAAGATCGCATATGATGCATTTTTATTTGAGTTCACAACCCTATTTCAATTGTAATCACAAAACATCAGAATATTTATTCATCATGGATTGAGATCTGTAGATGACGAATTACACATTAGATTATGTATTGCTAATTCCTATTCAAAAACTGATTAATGTATAATTAATCATACACTTAGTTAATTGCGCTAACGTCAGTAGAATAATAAAAATATACTGTTTATTTGAAAATCTGTAAATCATAGATTCTAATCACTTTATTTCCATTTTTGAATTTCTTTTTAATGATGCCCTGTCTTACAATCAGTTTGTAAATCAGGATGTATTATTTTTATTAGTAATTCAGAACTACGTAATAAGCGAGAATGAACATACCAGAACTTTGGAAAAATTCATCAGTATAGCAATACAAAAAATAATTCTTTTGACAGATTCTCTACTACAAATGCCGGTGATATATTACTGTGAATGTAATTGCGGAGGAATATAAATCAGTGACGTCTTACTAGTATCTAAGCCACCCACATATTTCAAAAAAAAAGAAACAAATATATGCGATAATTCAGTCTATGTGAATATGTGATCCACCTTAAAATTCAGCTAGACGGTTACTAGAGATATGATAGGACTTATCATTGGTGAGGTTTTTCTTTTGTATCTTCTATCATGATATTAATAATTGCCATTATATCTACTGTTTTCATTATATTCATTATATCTATCATATCTATCATCATCTGAATTATTTGACATCTCTTCTTCAGAATCATTGTTGTGACTACAGTCACTATTATTATCCGTTAGCTTTGCTAATATCTTTGGTACTTCTTCATTCGTTCATTTCACTTTCTCATCTTCAGAATAATACACATCATTATCATTGTCTGCCTTAACAATTATTTCAGACATTTAGAACTCTTTTCAATCGAATCATTCGCTCCTCCTTCTTCTTCTTCCTTAAAATAATCTGTAATATTAGACGTAATACTAAAATTATCATCTGAGTCATGAACTGAATTAATAGCCACTGTCTCAGAGATTTCATTTACAGGACTAGTGGTTGTTTTTGATTTGACCTGTTCTATGATGTATTCGATTTGAGGATTAGTGAGTCTTGAAATTTTGTCACATTACAGGTGACCTATTGAACTATATACCTCAGTATACCTTTAATCTTTTTCAGAGTTATAGGATCATATTTATACTCAAATAACCTATTGATTTTTCTCGCTTTATAGGTCATTACTGGTAAATATCCAATTGAAACATCTGCGAGATATAGTTTCATTTCATTATAGATCTGCTTTCTTGCAATCTGATCTGTAAGTTTCTTATCGTTAGACTTAAGCACTACAACTTTATCTTCGAACCTTTCAGAGAATAAACAACTATAATGTAATCTCTAATCACTTTGCTATGATAATTTTATTTCTTGTAACATTCGCTTAATAGAATGAATTGGCAAGTTTTTTGATGCTTATTGATCTGGGAACTATAATTTTGGAAGAAGAAAACTTTATAGTCTGGAGTGGATCATCAAATGAGAGTAGCTCTTCCAACAAATCTTGTACGAATTCAGTTACTATACTCGAGAAAGCCTGAACATTCCCACTATTCTTGGTCAGTAAGATGTGATCCCTTTGGGATACTCCTGATAAGCTATTAGAAGAATTTTCTTTTCCTGATCTTTTTATCTCTATATTTCTATCTATTTCTAAAAAAAGTATTGGCAATTTTTTCCTCTTGTTTTTGTCTCTCATGTGATGATTTTGAATTTTCAGAAAACCTCTTAACTTTGTTAAGGAGTTTTATATCATGTGATAATTTAGAATTTTTAGAATACCTGTTAACAGATTTTATATCATGCATCACTTTCGAATCTACTATGAGAATTTTTTCCTGAGAAGTATCTGCAATGATTGATTGAGAAGCAACTACCATAATTTCTGATATATAAGCAATATCTGAGATGCTGTTCTAGTTAGCTGATTCACGCTGAAATTTCTTCTCCTTATTATATTGCCTAATTTTATTACTAACTTTTTTCTTATGCATTTCATCCAAAAAAACATTTATTTCTTTGTCTTTAGGTAATAAAGTATTCACTAATAGTTTTTCGTGATGTGTTACTATAGACACCTGATCTGCAACCAAATTGAAGTTAAATAAACTAATGTTAGAAGAATTATGTGAAGCGTCTCTCAACTCATTTAAAGTCTGCTTCTGTTCTACTTTTGTAATTCTATCTCTAAACTCAAATCTAACTCCTTGATTTTGGCCTTGAGTTTACATTTTCAGCATTATGCCTTTCATTATATTTCTCATTCACTCTTAGAAACTCGATATTTCTGCATTTAAGTTCAGCTATTTTAGCATCAGACACTGAGAGCTTATTTCTAAGATAAGGGATTTTGGCATTTTCAGCTTCAAGCTCAATAATCTGTTACCTCAATAAATCTATTTCAGATTGCATTACTTATATTGAAATGATAATTATTTTTTATACTCTATATATTAGTATTTAAAATCAGCAAAATACCCTCTTCGATCAAAGATCACTTTTTTTCTCATAAATTTAGCTTGAAAAAAGAAAAGCTATTTAGATAAGCTAATAGGGTAAGCAATCAGTGTTGTTTAGCTTCCGCAGTATTAAAGATACAATAGAGGGTAAATAACTATCAGGATTTTTTAATCAGAAAAAATAAAAAGACAGATACTGTGCATGGATCAGCAAATTCTTCTGAGATAATGATCACTGCGATCACTGCTTCTAGTAAAAATTTCAAAAATAAAATCATTTGTAGTATCAGTCGTACCCATAAATATAAGAAGAGGCATATTATTACTATAAATATCTTTATTCTCTGATTCAGTTTTGGAGCCAGAGCTAGAAGATTTTGAATTAGAGCAGTATTCTTATCAAAATTATTGATATGAATGTTTTGATTGAGCTGATTCATAGTTTTTTTGCTAATATTTTCACATTCTTTCAAATCTAGAAATTTTAAATTGAGACATGAGTGAGCAATTTCTCTGATAGTCATACTGGTAATATTATAATATCTGAGTTCAAGATGCTGGAGTCTTAAGCAGGAACATATATTGATAATTCATTGACAAAAGAACAGCAACTTAGATCGAGATATTCCAATTTATGACAAGTATGAGCCAACGCTTCAGTAACCTTATCACTAATGTTAAGTCAGTTCTTTATGTTACTTAAATGTTATAAGCGGACAGATAATATATATGGTAAGCAGAAGGTTTAATTTATAGTTGAGATTAGGTAAAATATAGATATCGGTAGTTTATTTGATATATACTAACAAATGAGTACTGTCTTAAAAACTTCGACACTTCTGTACTGTACAAATGTTCTAAATAATCAAACTAAACTAATTTAGACTATTACTATAAGTCTTTTCTTCAGTGAACTCTCTGAATCTTCAAGGATTCTCAACTCATATTTATATAAAATAAAATATATATAATTGTTAACAATGTAAAATAAATAAACTAAATATAATTAATAAACTAAAGAAAATAAATAAAATAAATAAACTAAGTTAACTAAATAAATGAGGTAGACAACGTAAATAAGGTTAATCACGTTAACATAGTTTCTAAGGATCTATATTAGGAAGATCATCCTAATAATTTTTCATGTAATACTAATATCATTTCTATATGTCTCAAATTCAAAGATCTTTTGATGATGGCTATAATTAATTTATTATTCCATAAAGTTATAGCACCACTAAAATCGAGATATTTTATATTAAAGCATCTTTGCATTAAAGTACTAGCATCTTTAACATCTCTATGACTAAACGCAATATCAAGTTTTCATAAATTTGGGCATGAGTTTAAGATGCAACTTATAGATTTATCAGTAATACAACGTGTTTTGGCAAAATAAAACTCTTGCAAATCATGACAATTTCCTACGATTTCAAACAAAGATTTATCACTAATATTTCTGCAGTAAGAAATATTTAGATATTCTAATTTATAATATGATCACGCAATTGCATATAAACATTTATCGGCTATTTGAGCATCCTATAAATTAAGATATCTCAAATTAGGATATGATTCTGCCATTACAAATAGTGATTTATCGCTAAACCTATACTATCTTTAAAATCTAAATGAATTATATTCGGAAATGTTTTCACAATACTTTTTATATTTTTATCTGAAAGTGAATGGTAAAAAGTAATTTCTAAATGGGTTGTAATTGAGATACAAGCTGGCTTATACTTTTCACACATTATTTTTACAAATCTTTCCTATTGAGTATGATCTCTTGTACAATCTTCATAATCTTCTGGAAAATAGTGTCTATATCTCAGATTATTTCCCTTTAGCTCAATATGTTTCCATAGAATAAAAGCATTATATTTGTATCACAATTGGAATACAAATAGGGTGGGATACAGTATCTTATCTACTACTAGGAAATATAAAATCTGCTCTAATAGTTCTGATATAATAAAAATACTTGAATGCGTCATAAATAATATTACTCTGTATCTTTAATTGAAAAAAATAAATTAGCCATCAATGCTCATATCTAAAATAAGTGATTTGTCTATGTAAACTATGCTGATCAAAATGTTGTCTATAGCAGATTTTGATTTTCAATGCAGTATTTGGAATTTCAGATAAATTAGAACCTCCAAAAGAAGAGCTAGAAAAATGCGTCTGATTCTGGCCAATTTTTTCTAAATATCAGGTAGTGGTACCTGGATTAATATATTTTATTTTAAGATATAATTCAATTTCCTTGATGGTTATATTAGATATTTTATATCTGTAAATAACAAACTCTTGGATCTTCAGACAAGAATGAATAACATTCCAAATCACTATTTCAGAAAATTCTTTGCGACTAGAAATATTCAGATATTCTAATTTATGGTATAAATTTGCAATTGCATATAGACCTTTATCAGTTATTAATCTATCATTATTATATCCTCACAAGTTGAGGTACTTTAGATTGGGATATAATTAAAGATGACACAATAATTAAGAAGTTGCAACTCAGTAAGTTGCAACTCCTTGCAAAATTTATTTTAATAAAAAATTTATAAATAGTTGCAACTCAATGATTTGCAACTTAAGTTGCAACTAGCTAAAAATTTTAAAATTAATTACAGCTCCATCTTTAGTTTAGACGTAAAAAATGCAACCAAAATTAATGTATACAATATATTGATTAAACATAAGTTCTGTATTTTTTTTGCATATGGAAAAGGACGATTTTCAGTATCTAATATACGCAAATATTTACAATATATTATAAAATCTTACCAAAAATAACATATACAATATACTGATTTGACATATAAAATTTAACAAAAATTATGTATATATTATACTGATTAGACGTATAAATTCAGTATTTTTTTACATACAGAAAAAGATGATTTTCAGTATCTAGTATACGGAAATATTTCTATGTTTATTATACATTTTTTAAACGTATTATTTCTGTATACTTTCCTTATACATATTATTTATAGGGCAAGGTTGTGATCCTTTTCTTCTAATTTGACCTTAATTTTGCCTGCTATAGCAAAATGATTATGTTGCAGAATTTTTCCAATATGGTAGCGTTGATTTGAGACAATTTCTTAGATGATCAGAAAAGTGATCAATTGAAATATTACCAGTTTTATTTAACAAACTGATATATCATTGACATGTGCGTAAAGAAATGCATAATCTTTTAGAAATTTCTTTTGAATTATATATATACTTTTGGTCCTAAAGTAACTTAACAGAATTTCGTTGTATTTCTAAAAAGCTTAGCATAGTTTCAGAAATAAAATCAAAATAAAAACAAATAACAAACCTTATTTTTTAATTTACCTTTTAAATTAGGATTCCAATGTCCAATTTGAGCATATAATAAATGATTAAATTTGCAAAGCGGTAAATCTGCAGCCTAAAAATAGATGCAAATTTTACCGCTATTTTTTTCACTTGGACTGTACATGTATATTATTATGGTGTTAAGGTAACAAAGTCAAATGTGAAAAGAGTATTCACATAAATATGATAGTCCAGGTCAGTAGCTTGTACTTGGTATAAAAGAGAATCAAAATAGATACATCATAAAACAGGTGAAATAATTTTGCCTTAGTCAATATCAGAGAGAACAGAATATGTTGGTGTGGTGCTATGAGCTGTTAGAACTTGGTTATAATGAAAAGTGAAAAATAAAGAGATTATTTCAATCAAATTATCAAGTAAGTGAAGTTTTAGTAGTACTTTATAAAGCATACTAAGGTTAACTCTATCGTAAGCCTTAGATAAACCTATAGATAATTTTAGTTAAATTGAACGTCTTTTTTTATCTTGTCTAAAATATGGATCAGGTCTTTCATAGATCTATACTTTAAAGAACTTGATATTTGAATAATGTTATCAATAATCAGTTGTTAATTAGTTTAACGAGCACTTTTCTTAGACATTCTAGTAGTGTGATAGGTTATGTATTATTAAGATCATATTTTCATAGCATAAGTTTTGAAATTGGGTAAATAAAAGTGATATTCCATATATCTGGTAAGATAAAAGTAGTTATACAACTGTAGATAAGAGTTTAAAGTACTTTTATAGTTTAAGATCCTAAGATTTTAAGCATTTAAGCATTTAATTTGATATTTTTAAGGGTTTTGAGGCTTTATTATTATTGAGTGCATTTATTTAGGATTGATAAAAGTTCTAATTAGTCCTAATTGGTCCTGATTAATTTTAAAAAAATTATTAGTTTTAAAGATTAAATTTTTTAAATATTATCATTATATT